ACACTCGATTCATAGTGTAACAGGTTCTATTTTGATTTCCCGCTCTTTTAGCTGTCATACACTCGATTCATAGTGTAACAGGTTCTATTTTGATTTAACGCCCTTTTAGCTGTCATACACTTGATTTATAGTGTTATGAATTCTATTTTATTTTCCTTCCATATTGATGTCATACACTCGATTCATAGTGTAACAGGTTCTATTTTGAATTCCCGCCCTTTTAGTTGTCATACACTCGATTCATAGTGTAACAGGTTCTATTTTGATTTAACGCCCTTTTAGCTGTCATACACTCGATTCATAGTGTAACAGGTTCTATTTTGATTTAACGCCCTTTTAGCTGTCATACACTTGATTTATAGTGTTATGAATTCTATTTCATTTTCCTTCCATATTGATGTCATACACTCGATTCATAGTGTAACAGGTTCTATTTTGAATTCCCGCCCTTTTAGCTGTCATACACTCGATTCATAGTGTAACAGGTTCTATTTTGAATTCCCGTCCTTTTAGTTGTCATACACTCGATTCATAGTGTAACAGGTTCTATTTTGATTTAACGCCCTTTTAGCTGTCATACACTCGATTCATAGTGTAACAGCTTCTATTTTGAATTACCGCCCTTTTAGTTGTCATACACTCGATTCATAGTGTAACAGGTTCTAATTTGATTTACTGCCCTTTTAGCTGTCATACACTCGATTCATAGTGTAACAGGTTCTATTTTGATTTAACGCCCTTTTAGCTGTCATACACTTGATTCATAGTGTTATGAATTCTATTTTATTTTCCTTCCATTTTGCTGTCATACACTCGATTCATAGTGTAACAGGTTATATTTTGATTTACCGCCCTTTTAGCTGTCATACACTCGATTCATAGTGTAACAGGTTCTCTTTTGATTTAACGCCCTTTTAGCTGTCATACACTCGATTCATAGTGTAACAGGTTCTATTTTGAATTCCCGCCCTTTTAGTAGTCATACACTCGATTCATAGTGTAACAGGTTCTATTTTGATTTACCACCCTTTTAGCTGTCATACACTCGATTCATAGTGTAACAGGTTCTATTTTGAATTCCCGCCCTTTTAGCTGTCATACACTCGATTCA